GCCTGGGTAACAAGAGTCAAAACTCCATCTCAAAAAAAAAAAAAAAAAGAACGTAGGTATTAATTAAACACATTAAACTTCTCTAGGACACTAGTAAGGTATATTCTTTGGGGTACATCTCAATTCTTTTGAATCTCATCACTGATAGTGATTCTGGGTTTACATTATTCCTCTTTTTGGAGTATGCAAAATATGAAATTGGAAGGCCACAACAGTTTCCAACTTTTCTCACTTCTATCTCTTTTGGAGAATTTAAATCACACCGCCAGTTCCACACTAAAAAACACGTTAAATTCCATTCTATTAGACATTTTATGGATGTCGTTACATTGTCCTAGGCACCAAGTTTAAAGAGAGACTAAAGGGAAGTCTCTGCTTTAGAAGAACTGACACTCCAGGTCCAGAGAGGGAGAAACAAATAATCACAACGTGATATATGGCTCAGGGAGAGGGCCTTATTCTACCTTGTTTTCAACAACACCTTTCTATGGGACATCTGTTCCTCTGTCATTACCTGTGACAATTTTCCAGCCCTTTCCTGTTTTTTTTCTTTTTTCTTTTTTCTTTTTCCCTTCCCTGATCAGCTTGGGATTACAAGGTCAATACAGTAATTTTAGCACTTTTATCTGCATCCTCAATACTCTTGGCCCATTATTGTTCTGCTCCTCTTGGTCAGTTTATCCCTGATTTTGGATTAATCCAGTCTATCTGCTTTCTGCTCCCAGGGAGATAAGCACCACAGAGTACTGAAGAAATATATTGATTATCTTTGTTAAAATTGGTGGTTTTCAGCCTCAGCTGATACTTTATCAATGCTAGGCAAATTTAGAACTTGTCCATGGTCAGCTCCATTTTTCTCCAACTCTGCAGTGTCTGATGAAAAAGCCTTATCATATTTCCTAAATTCCTCATCTTATTCTCTCCTGAAGATCACTTGTCTGTTACTTTGCAGTCATCATCAGACACTAACTTCTTCAATTTTCATGTTGACCAATGGACTGCATTAAATCCAAGGCATTTTCCAGCCCCAAGCAATTATTTGTTTGGTTGTCATCCTTTTTCTCGGCTCATTTCAATTCTAGGCATCATTGGTTTTCTTCTTTGTTGAACTTGACAACAGATTTCCATGTGCTCATTTTAGTCCCTTGGCACAAATTATTCTCTAGGATTTGAATAAACCTGAAATGTCCTAATCCTGAAAGGCCACAGGGTTCAACTCTTGGACTTTTTTCTCTATTGGTGATCTCATCTCATCTTATGGCTTTAAATATGCCTTACATATGTTGATAACTCCCAATTTTATTTCTTTAGCTCAGACCTCTCCTCTGAACTGTGGACGTCTATATCTAACTGCCTACTCAAATATCCCTATTTGAGTATCATGTGCCATCTTAAACAAATTCAAAATTAAGCCTACAAGAGAACATTTTTGGGAGTGATGGATATAGTCATTATCTTTTGATTATGTTAATGGTTTTATGAGTGTGTACCTATGAAAAAAAACTCATCAAATTGTATACTTTTAAAATGTACACATTTTTGTACATCATTATATTCACTACAAGAGGCAAGGACAAAACAGTTTCCTGATTTCAATAAAGTTAGGCACATTTGTAAAAATCATCTTCAAATGATAAACTTTTTGCATATTCTGAAATGCCTTTTCCATTATTCCATTGTTATTTTGAAGAGAACTATAATAAGTGAAGTAACTAACACGGACAATTAAGTTCTCAAATAGGTTAGATTGAACTGTAATTGATTTGAAATTCTCTAATTATTAAACCCTTGTAACTCTGATAACCTCAGCTACATTACGTGCTGAGACCTCAGCAGTGGACTAGTAGTATGGGGAGGAGACCAGGGCTCATAAGAGTAAAACAGAGTCTGGTTCTCATACTGAAAAGGTATCCTCTTCTGCCCCAACATGGTCTCTGTGTACATACAGGGTGGAGGGAGTAAGATCAGAGACAGTGGCAACATTCAGTCAGACAGCTAGGTCATATATACTAATATAATCTTAATTATAACTAAGTACTACATTGTTTGGATCCAGAACCAAGTTTTTGGGAAGATAGGAATGAGGGGCCCACTCCCAGGGAAGGACTAGCGAAAGATAAGCAGGTTATTCTAGCAGGCTGAGATTCAAACAAAGGCTCTAATCCCAACTGGGGAGCTGTTAGAAAAATCATGAAAACAGCTAAAAGCTCTTTCATGCACACTGGGTTGTGAGTACTGACATGTTCCTCAGTTCACAGGACACTTGACCAGGGAGCCAACAACAGTGGATATTGGGTTTCTGGCAATAGAACTAATTTTAGAAAGCACCAAATGGTAGGTTTGAGCTTACTATATTTTAAGATTACCTGGAAGCCTGGTATAAGGCAGATGATACATTCCTGCTGGCTAAAGTCAGACACATGTAAATTATCTTTTAACTTCTGAAACCAATCAGAAGCATACATATCCCAGTCTAGTAAGTATAGTCAAGCTGTTTAGGTCCTTTTTTTTTTTTTTTGAGTCAGGGCCTTTGTCTGCTGCTCAGGCTAGAGTGTAGAGGTGCAATCATGGCTGATTGAAGCCTCAACTTCTAGGTTCAAGTGATCCTCCCATCTCAGCCTCCCAAGTAGCTGGAACAAGTGCATGTCACCACACTTAGCTAATTTTATTTGTGGAGATGACATCTTGCTGTTTCCAGGCTGGTCTCTTCCTAGATTCAAGCAATCCTCCCAAACTGCTGGGATTACAAGCATGAGCCATTGTACCTGGTCCCAAGCAGCAGATATACTCGAGGGTTAACTCACACAACTAAAAGTCCCTGATCTTAGCCAATATTGCCTGAGTTTTTAGGAGGCTAGTTAGAGACTAATAGCTTAAGGGTATTAACATTTTAGCTTTCTGTCCCACATCTATCCACCCTATTGGTACTCAAATCCTCAGTATTTCTCTCTCACGCTCTGGACCATACCGTCTTTGCTCAGTATTTCTCAGGCCTATTTCCCCAACACCTGTGCTGGTTTAAGACTCAAATCCAGCCGGGCGAGGTGGCTCAAGCCTGTAATCCCAGCACTTTGGGAGGCCGAGGCGGGTGGATCACGAGGTCAAGAGATCGAGACCATCCTGGTCAACATGGTGAAACCCCGTCTCTACTAAAAATACTAAAAATTAGCTGGGCATGGTGGCGTGTGCCTGTAATCCCAGCTACTCAGGAGGCTGAGGCAGGAGAATTGCCTGAACCCAGGAGGCGGAGGTTGCGGTGAGCCGAGATCGCGCCATTGCACTCCAGCCTGGGCAACAAGAGCGAAACTCCGTCTCAAAAAAAAAAAAAATAAATAAAAAAAAGACTCAAATCCACTTATTCTATTTTCAAGAATTTTTAATAGCTTGACTTTTCCTAGACATCTTGTGCCACTATTGACAAAATGGTTCTTCTTTTATTTCAGGCCTTTTTGGCAGACCCTAGCACAGCTCAGTGAATATAAAGTAAATGTGGATACTAATTTTGATATTAACTAAGAAAATATGACATATTAAAAGATCTGTTGGAAGGCAAGGGAGGTAGAAGGAGCTACAGGAAAAGAGGTCAGAGGGCTCCAAAGCAAATAGTCTATTTCACAACTTTGTCTTGTTTGTCAGCTTTGACAAAAGGTTAACGGAAATCTTCCCTGAAAACTCTATGGGATCTCAAGTCTTTTACCACTTGCTGAAGTGCCTGGCCCTGTTCTAGGCACTTCTGAACTAATGAAAAACATATTTTAATTTTTTTTTTTTTTGAGATGGAATTTCACTGTTGTTACCCAGACTGGAGTGCAATGGCACAATCTCAGCTCACCAAAACCTCTGCCTCCTGGGTTCAAGCAATTCTCCTGCTTCAGCCTCCCGAGTAGCTGGGACTACAGGCACGCACCACCATGCCCAGCTAATTTTTGTATTTTTAGTAGAGACGGGGTTTCACCTTGTTGAACAGGATGGTCTCCATCTCTTGACCTCGTGATCCACCCACCTTGGCCTCCCAAAGTGTTTGGATTATAGGCGTGAGCCACTGCGCCCGGCCAGATTTTAAAATTGTAAGCATAAGTTCTAGGAGAGGGAGAAAGACAATGACAGACAATGATTAACAGTTTTAAGTACAGCAGGTAAGGGCATCAGAGCAAGGGGGGAAATGCAAACACTGCTTCAACTGTCATCTTAAACACACTACCTTCAGTTTGAAGGTGCATTTTCTTTTTGAGATGGAAGTCTTACTCTTGCTGCCCAGGCTGGAGTGCAGTGGTGTGACTTGGGCTAACTGCAACCTCCGCCTCCTGAGTAGCTGGGATTACAGGCATATGTCACTATATCCGGCTAATTTTGTATTTTAGTAGAGATAGGGTTTCTTCATGTTTTGGTCGGGCTGGTCTCCCTCAGCTGATCTACCCGCCTTAGCCTCCCAAAGTGCTGTGATTACAGGCGTGAGCCATCACGCCCGACAGTGAAGATGCATTTTCTATCTCCAAATGTTACATGCCAAGGCTTCCCTCTATTTATTTGGTAGTATCAGATACTCAGCATTATACATAACCCAACCTGCCAAATGATCTCCTTCTTCGTAGATTTTAGCAAGCCTGAATGTCTTCACCAGATTGTTTTATCAGTGACTTTCTCTCATGATCACACTTAGTTAATAAACTGCTATCATTATTGTATTGGGCTCCTGTTTTCTGTATCTCATCCCCCAATTTCTCAACTTAAGCATCCAGGCTTTCAAGTCTATAATTACATCAAAACTAAATATTCAATGATTTGCTTAGTAGCACTTCTTTTAATGCCTGACATACTTCCCACCAGTAATTCCTGCCTCTCTACTCCTACACTGATCCAAAAACCCTTACATTGTACCTTGCATAAAGCCAAAACATTCATTCAGAATATTTTGATTATAAGGCTGGTTAGTGGATTTTCCATCTAACGTCCCCCATGTTATTTCGGATCTATTTAAAAATAATACAAAAACAACATAATCCAAAATTACATGTTTTATTTTCATGTTTGTAAAACGAAGAGCTTTTTTTCTGGATGGTTTTCTTATCAGCTTTTCATACCACAGTCAAGTAAACCTCGTGGTACTAGCCCTAGAAAAGGAAAAACATGAGATTCTTACAAGACTATTAACATTACAACAATTTATGTAAAAGCATTTTGAAAAAAGTATTGTCCTTATAATGGTCCATCTCAGAAGCCAGATCCGTATTAGTTTTTTTTCAACAGAAGTTCAGGTTCGGGATAAGATCATCACAGATAAGACCAAGGCCACAATATTCACTAATTGGTAAGCAAAAAAAACAAAAACAAAAACAAAAAAAACAAACAAACAGAAAAACTCCACTTACAGAAATCGTTGCAACTTTGGAACTTCCAAGACAATCTGGCCTCTATCAATGGGCAGACAGCGACCCTCACTGTTGGCAGAAAAAAACAAAAAAACCCCAAGATTTTGAGCTGTTGTGAACAGAGCTGTTACAAAATCATGGCAACAAAATTTACTCCACCTCTGAATATTGGTCTTAAATCTCAGAAGCCGAATCCGTACATATTTTTCTTCAGGTCATCAGTTTCGGGATAGGTTTCATCACCGATTAGACCAATCATGCCTTACACATGTACGCATAATACACTTAAACGGCACTTCGATGACACTGACCATAAACCAAGGTAAATCTAAAAGGCAAGTATTATAGTACAAATACTACAGAACTTCTAAGCCACCATAACTTACTTCAAAATGAAGCTGCTAGTCAGTGACATCTGACATTCATATCTTCATTAGCTACTTGTCAGCACCCAGAACGCTGTTCAATGACAAAAAATTAATTTAGTCTAAGTGTAGATTAAACGCTATCATCATAAAGTACTAAAACAACTCATACCTGTTAAGAGTGTTAGGTTTTAACCAAGCGATTTTCCATTAAATATTCTCCCAGATGTGCTGGAATTTTTTTAACGTACCTAACAAAAATAAAATTTCAAAGGACTGCAACAGTTGCTATTCCTGTAAATCAACAGGTTTACTCCTTTAGTTTGTAAATAAAGCTTAACAGCTCTTACCTCTGCATCTTCACCGAGAGGCTCCGCTGTGTCACTGAAAGACAGCGCCATTGTTTCTGCGGGGAATCGAGGTATAAGCATTCTCGCAAAAATGTCACACTCCAAGGCGTTTTTCCACATGAAACCCCTACCTTTCGTTAATCCAAATTGCACACAATGCCGCCTTCAAACAGCTCAATCTCAGCACAGGGTCGAGACTATCCATTTTAAAATAACGCCGACGGAAGGTCTTCGCCATTTTAAAGGCTCTTAAAACTAACCCTCTGCCTCAATCCCGTAACTATGATTTCCCCCCGCCGTTCAGGCTCGTGCGGGAGGCCTGCAAGCGCGCGGCGCCAGCCGCTGATCAACTGCCTCTTCACGCCAAAACTCGGGAGCCTGTGGCCGCCAGGACTCAACCTCAGTACAGGTGGCAGTCCGGCCGCGCGTTTTCCCACGTGCAAGCTTTCAACCCTCAGCTCTCTAAGCTCACCTCTAAGATGGCTTCACAGTACTAAAGCTCCTATCTCTGCCTGCGCCACCATCTTTTGCTGGCATACTCGCCCGCAACACCCACTCACTTAGCAAGCTGCAAAACGAGCCAGAAGGCAGACGTAAAAGACCGAAAGCGCGTGGCCAGCAGCTCCCTATATAGCCTCCCAGAAGTCAGAACGAGGCCGCCCCGCCCTCTCGCACCTATTGGACATGGAAGTAGACGGGGGCGTGGCCGCGAATTAGCGGGAGCGCGCGCGGCGGCTCCTTTCTTCCGAGGCAGGTTCTGCGGTGTGGCGCGCGCGCCGCACTCCGGCCGCGCGCCCGTCCTCTTCCTAGCGCGCGCCCGCAGGCGCGTGGCGAAACGTCGCTTGCGAGTTTGGCGGCCACCGGTCCCTACGTGGCGCGGGAGTGGCGCCAGAATTCAAACAGCCGCATTTGGAAACGACGCTACCACCTGCCCTGAGCCAAGTCCGCGCAGGACAGATTGGGTCCGAGAGTGGACACAAGTTTTGCAGCGCAGGGCGGCCTCAGCTTAGAACCGACTCGAGAAGCCGGGCTGGCTAGCTGGAGCTGGGCTGGAGTGGGCCCCCAGCGGAGGCCGCGGGACGAGCGCGCGAGCCCTGGCTGCTGCACTCCTGGGAGAGGGCAGTTGGCTGGCAGAAACGCTCGGGTGAAAAAGCGGCAAGCGCCCCGTGAGAGCCGCCCCGGCACGCGGCCCCGCCTGGCCTCAGGGCGGGCTTGAAGGCTTCGTGGGGGCCCTTTTCTCCTCACGCTTCCTCCTGTCAGGCATCCGGTTACGCTCTAAACCTGACCATACAAGTCTCGCTCAAACAGCTAACGTGAGATTCAGTGCTCCAATTTGCGGAAGAGAAAACTAAGGCTTAAAGCAGAGTGGAAATTTGGGTAAGGTCACACAGCTGAAATGATTTGCTAATTTTAACTTTTTTGGTACCAAATTAGTTATACTGAAAAGAGAGAAAGATTAATTTGAGAAGTATCCCTGAATACTTTATCAGGAAGACAAACTTGCAAAATTCAAAAGCAGTGCTTTCATTAATAAGCATGTTTGTGTGTGTGTGTCAGTGCGCGCGGGCGCTCACACACACACACACACACACACACGACGTTTGAACATTTCCATATTTGAAAATTCAGGTCGTTCTTCTGTATTTCAGAGCACGACTTATTAACATTGTTTATTTGTGCATTTGGTTATGGTCTGACCCTGCTAGAGTGTGGGAGGAACACATCTGATTTTATGCTCTGCTGTTTATTTTTTCTTAGAACAGAGCCTAGCATTAAGTAGGTTGTCGGTAATGGTTAAATGAGTGAATTAACGAATACATTAGGTGGCTTTTTAGAAAATTAGAATGTAGATCAAACTTCACATCAAAAGGTCGTAGTGAAAAGCCCGTGTCTCTAACAGGAACCTAAATAACGAAGTATTGACTGGGCCGGGCATTATGTCAGTTTTTATATTACTTTGTAATGTTTAATATAAATTCGCGTATTGCTCACAGTAAATAGTAAAACAAAACTAATAAGTAAAAAAAGATAGGAAGCAAAGTAGGCCCGGGTGTGGTGGTTCTTGCCTGTAATTCAGCACTTGGGAAGGCCGAGGTGGGAGCATTGCTTGAGCCCAAGATTCTGTCTCTACTGTATTAAACAAAAATTAAAAAAAAAAAAAACAAAAAAAGGCGTAGTGAAAGTATTTTTCCATATGCCTGGAAATTTCCCTAATTGTACTCTTCAGCAATACTATTAACAGTTTTTGAGACTTTCTATGCAAATGCAAATATATGTACTTCGTTTTTCACATACAAATGGAATCTATATGCTCTCCTGTAACTTGTTTGTCCTTCTTTTAACTATCATAAACATCTTCCCCTATCAGTACATATAGATGACTTTTTCCCCCCATACAAGGTCTCACTTTGTCACCCAGGCTGGAGTGCAGTGGCTCTATCTTGGCTGTCTGCAACCTCTTGGGATCAAGTGATCCTCCTGCCTCAGCCCACCAACTATGTGGTACAATAGGCAGGCGCCACCATGCCTGGCTAATTTTTTGTATTTTTCGTAGATGTAGGATTTCTGCCTTGCTGAAGACCATAAACATCATCTGGTCAAAAGCCATACGAAACAGTGATTCCCAGCACTGTGGGAAGTCAAAACGGGTGGATTGCTTGGGCTCAGAAGTTCGAGACCAGCTTAGGCAATGTGGCAAAACTCTGTCTCTACAAAAAATGCAAAAACAAAAACAAAAACAAAAAAACCCCAAAAAATTAGGTGAGTGTGGTGGCTGAGGTGAGAGCATGGCTTGAGCCTAGGAGGCAGAGGTTACAGTGAGCTGAGATTGTGCCACTGCATTCCAGTCTTGGTGACAAGAGCCAGACCCTGTCTTAAAAAGAAAAAATGAAGTTCTAATCTGTTTTATTTAACCCAAATATAATCAAAGGTTTTTATTTTGACATATGAACACTGTAGAAATTATTGAAATATTTTTCCATTTCTTTTTTGTATGCAGTAAATGAAATCAAGTGTGTATTTTTTTCTTACATCACATCTCAATTTGTTCTGCACATTTATCATTTTTTAACTTTTAGATTTGCAGATACATGTGCAGGTTTGCTGTATATAGGTGAACTCATATCACAGAGATTTTTTGTACAGATTATTTCATCACCCAGGTATTAAGCCTAGAACCCAGTAGTTATTTTTTCTGCCCTCCTCTGTCCTCCAACCCTCTACTCTCAAGGAGGCTTCAGTGTCTGTAGTTCCCTTCTTTGTATTCATGAGTTCCCATCATTTAGTACCCACTTATAAGTGAGAACATGCAGTATTTGGTTTTCTGTTCCTGCATTAGTTTGCCGAGGATAATGGCTCCAGCTCCATCCATGTTCCTGCAAAAGAGATTATCCCATTCTTTTTATGTCTGCTTAGTATTCCATGGTATATATGTACCACATTTTCTTTATCCAATCTGTCATTGATGGACATTTAGGTTGATTCTAAATCTTTGCTATTGTGAATAGTGCTGCAGTGAACATTTACGTGCATATGTGGTCTGTACTTTTCAAGTGCTCAGTTGCCATATGTGGCTGGTCACTGCATTGGACAGCACAAGTGTAGGGTGCTTCATATAGAAGTTTGAGAACCACTGTTTTAGGGTAAAAGTAAAAGAGGTACTACATATATGATATATATTCCAGTCTTTTTTTTTTCTTTTTTTTTTTTTTTTTTTTGAGACAGTCTCACTCTGTCGCCAGGCTGGAATACAGTGGCACAATCTTGGCTCACTGCAATCTCTGCCTCCCGGGTTCAAGCAATACTCCTGCTTCAGCCTCCCAAGTAGCTGGGACTACAGGTGTATGCCACCACACATGCCCAGGTAATTTTTGTATTTTTTGTAGACATGGGGTTTCACTATGTTGGCCAGGATGGTTTCTATCTCTTGACCTTGTGATCCACCCGCCTTGGCTCCCAAAGTGCTGGGATTACAGGCCTGAGCCACTGTGCCTGGCCTATTCTAGTCTTTTTTTTTTTTTTTTTTTAAACCTTCCATGTTATTGTTTTTTATTCAGACAGGGTCTTGCTCTGTCACCCAGGCTGGAGTATAATAGTGTGATCACAGCTCACTGCAGCCTGCAACTCCTCAGCTCAAGTGATCCTTCTGCCTCAGCCTCCCAAGTAGCTGGGACTACAAGTGTGTGCCACCACATCCCGCCAATTTTTTTTTTTTTTTTTTTTTTAGTTGACACAGGGTTTTGCTATGTTGACCAGGCTAGGTCTTAAACGCCTGGCCTCAAGTAATCCTTCCACCTGGACCTCCCAAAGTGTTGAGGTTACAAACATGGGCCACTGTGCTGGGCCTTGTATTACTTTTGACTCAAAAACTAATAATTGTAACAAAGGCAATGTAAAAATTAAATTAGTTCAGAGCCTGATAATTGACAGTGCCCTCCTGTTAACATGTACAATGACTGTGAAGTCAGTACACAACTCTTTTAAGATGTTTATCTCTACAAGAAACAAAGATGAACTGAGGGATAAAGCCATCAGTTGTTAGGTGTGAGAGCTCTCATACCTAAAACAGTCAAACAGATTACTACCAAATATTTGAAGTGACTTAGTAAGGATCAATACTGAAATTAAAAGTGTCTTTTATATTTAAAGCATTTATTATATTGAAAATAAATTCTCATATTCTGAAACAAAATTCCTGATAAGATAATCACTTTAGTCATTTTTTAAAAAGAAATGTTCACTGAGCCCCTGGTGTATGCAGTGTACTTCAGAGAACTCTAATGTGAATAACAAATGTCAAACTTGAAGGAATTTATAGTTTAGTAAAAAGTGTCCACTCAACTTTTTACAGGGTTTAGATATGAGAGGGACACCATTATAATTTTGACCATGGAAATGGAAGGTAGGGAAGACAAGATTTGGTGAGAACTTGTTATATGCTGTTAGGTTCTTATATGCATTAGATCATGTACTCAAGTTCTGGTGTGTATTTTTAACTTTATGTTAGAAATGAGCAAAATGACGCATGGAGATCTCAGTTAACTAATGTTCCCAAGTCTTTCTGACCTTAAATGCATAATCATGTCACCAGGGCATTATCTAGCTGTGACAAAGAAAGAAATGAAGGATGTGATGAGGAGCTGTGGGAGAAGAGAGGAAGTGGAGTAGAGCCCAGGCAGCCTAGGGAATGGCAGCTAGTTACTGGTTTGGGAGCAAAGAAAAGAAGATAATTCCATTTTGGTTGTGTTAAATTTTGGGTGGAACATTTGGTTGGTTACAGTTGTCCTATTGTCCATCAGAAATGCGGACCTGAAGCCAGAGAAAAATCAGCACTAGAGGACCATTTGACAAACACTAATGTAGAAGGGATGATTGAAGCCATATGAACAAATGAGTGTGAAGAAAAAAGAAAAAAAGAGCCAATAGTGGTGGCCTAGAATTAGAATTAGTACTATAGTGTACAGATAGCTTATAGTAGACAACCTTAAAAACAGTCGACATAAGGATCTGGTTACAAAATTAATGTATAAGAAAAAAGTCCACAAAGATTTTGGTGAATCATGGGAGAAACATGTATAGGAAGTTAAG